ATTTCACTACACAAATTTCGAAAAGGCAGCTCGGACTTCTCCCCAAGCCAAACTTTAAACTTTCCATGACACAAGCCATCAAAGTGGAGTCCCTGGGATATAATTGCATGGGTCGCGGAAATCTAAGATGCTGTACACGGTCTCAAAGCGGGCTAGAGCATTATAAAATGGCGTGTATCAACAATTACCTGTAACTTCCGTGGCACCCTTTACCCAATGTTGCAGCAGCACTAGGTGAAGAATTTTTCCGCTTAAATGTCGGGCTTAGAGTATCATTTGACCCTGGAACGACTTTTAAGCCACAGCAATCCCGAGTCAGCCGTTAAAGCCGATTTTCACTCTTTGTAACTTCCGTGATAACGTAATTTCCGTGATCAAAACACCCACTAAAACGTATGGGAATACCTTGTGGCTCATGGTTTTAGGAAGGTAGTACAAGGTCTTTACTATAAATACCATTGTCATAACTCTAGTATCATCCAGGACCCCAATAATCAGAAAAACTTAATTGGATATTTCTCACTTTCGGCAAATCAGAGACGCCAAAACTACCCCGAAACGTGAGAATCGCTCGCAAGCGATTTGCGACGCGAACGCGCGTTTAGTGCCTTACTTGACTGCACCAGTTGGTGTGGTCTAGATCACGTATTCTGAGTTTGGTGTGGTTATAGCATGGAAAGACCACACGAAACGTGTTCTAGACCACACCGAACGTGGCAAAACGTGGTCTAGACCACACCAAACGTGGCCAAACGTGGTCTGGACCACTCCAAACGTGGTCTAGATCACACCAGAGCGATTCTGATGTCTTGTTGGATAGCAGCATGACTTGGCCCAGCTTCACCAGCCGGGTTTAGACCGCACCAACTGGTGTGGTCTTTCCATGAAATAACCACACCAAACGCTTCAAACGTGGTGTAGGCAGCACCAACTGGTGTGGTCAACATGGCACCCATTTGACCACACCAGTTGGTGTGGTCTGGACCACGTTTGGCTTTTCAGTGTTGGCCCAGCTTCACCCTGAACACCGGTAGGTGCAGCAACTAGGTTAGGCACTAAACGCGCGTTCGCGGATCATGATATAAAAGTTAGGGCTGAAAGAAACAAATTGACTCACCTGGCAAAGAGGGTCACTGTTGAAGGCCCACGTATCATCACACATGAGGCACTGGATGAGCTCCTGCAATGTGACCGTGAGGGGGCAATAGCCTTCCTCCGTCGCAATGTTGGAGTGATAGTCCATGATTTCGGTGATGAAGTAATTTCTGATTCTGAAGTAAACGTTGATGATCCAGGTGAGGCATTTGAAACAAAATAAAATTTCAATTAGGATGTATCCCCATAGGAACATCCACGTGGATGAGACGTGGATGCAACGTAACTTTTCACGTGGAATCGACGTGGATGGTCGACTTGACAATCGAGTAGAAACGTCCAAGTCAAACTACGTGGATGCAACGTGGATTCAGCAACTCGCCTTATCCACCTACCATCGATTTTACATCGAGGCGCGTACCGGTCATTCTGAGCTTGGTGAAGCATAATTCGAATGAGTCGATAATCGATGTGAAATCTATGTCTTAACGTACCCTGCATTCATGTTATAAAGTCCTCTCGAGGTTGATTACCGTGAGGACGTCTAAAACTCATACGATCGAGACAATTCCTATGAAGTCCACGTCAAGTCCACTTAGGTTGTCCGACGAGCATGGTAGTATGGCTCTAGGACATGGTGAATTGGCATCCTACTTGCAGGTCGAGAGGGTAAGGAAAGACAAGAATATCAGCAGGCCCTCTGTCGGCAGCTTTCAAAACTAATCAAGTTCCACAGTCCTCACATAATCTTCGTTGAATCCACGTGGAAGTCTGAATCCTCTGCGATGAATCCGGTATCGTCAGACGACCATGCTTCAATGAATTTGGATACGTGTGATCAACATTGAAATCGTGTTGAAAAGTTAAGGCGCTCAATCCACATACCATTGATATCGATAGGACCGCTCTGGATACTCGTCACAAGGTCACCGTATTATCGACGTAGACACAACGTCCCTAAAATCCGTTGGACTATCCACGTAGAGTCAACGTTGGTTTACCATGGACCACCATAGAAGCCCAAATCGATGTTAAATCAAGGTGAAAGTCACGTGGATTTAAGATAGAAAAATGCTATCCACCTAATCCACCTATCTCACGTGGATTCTACGTGGATGGTACGTGGTTGTTCCCATGGGGTACATAAAAAACTTCATTGTTATTCCCCGTTTCATGTGTTTTGTTTCGTCTTAGATTGCCCTTTAACTGATGACGAACCTGTATCATCGGGGAAAAGAGGAGGCAGACACCTCGGCAACGAGAGTCTGCCCAAGGCAGACCCAGAAGATATAGTAGACAAAGCCTACCTTGAGCTAACTGGCAAGAAAGGGAAGAACTATGCAATGGCGGCGGGCCGCCTGCTTGCATAGCATATGTTACTTTAAAAAAGGCAAATGTGGAACCTTTCAAGAGATTTCTAGAATTTGAACTGCTGGATGAGCGGGTACAGCTACTGTCTAAGCCACTGGAACAAGGCGGGGACGACTTCCAGCCAGAAACGGTGTCGGGTCACCTCAAGGCAATAAGGAAGGTTGCTTTAGAGTTGTCCGCCGTGCCGAACCTGCGCCAGCATCACGAGGACCTTAAAATGGCAGCTGACCATTTCAATCAAGTCAACGAACTGCAAGTAGTACCGGACCTCCTGCAGCACAACAGGGAGAAGAAATGCCAGCGCGGGAAGGAGGAAATATACTTGCAGCTTGTGAGTAAATTTCTTAACGCGGCACTTCCCCGCCACCAGCAGGAGCTGCAGAAGCTTGAAGACATCATCAAAGAAAAAGGTTATCTAGTGTGTTCGGCTAAAGGAAAAGTTCCCCTGTCAGTAAGCAGCGCATTGTCCTACGTCGTGAAATACTTGGCAATGTTTGTTGTTGGCAACGGCAAGAGGCCCAGCATAGCTGCTGGCCTAAGAATTGCAGAGTACCAAGAAGCTGCGACCAAGATGGGCAGGAGGACCATTAACGTAGCCATCCACAAAACAGCAAGGAACATGGCTTCGTCCTTCTGCATAGACGAAAGAGACGGGACAGATACCTTGCGGTAAGACTAACTGAAACATACAATTTAAGCAGCATTATGTAAAAAAAAACATGAGACGTTATTAGTTTTGTCTTTTACCTTCTTATAGGTTCGCTTCAAGATGGTAAGGTCAGACAAGACCCCCCTCGACAGCCATTTCTTTCTGGTAAATTCAAACGGCACTCAAGTTACAGACTTCTACACACATTTCCACGAAATGTTTCCAAATGCTCCCACCACTTCAAGGGAACTCCGGAGCGGAGTAGCAACTGAGGCAATGGGGGCCGACCCGAAGATCTCTAAGTTATGCACTTCGCTCTTAGACCACTCTGATACGGTGGAAAACCAGAAGTAAGTTACAAAAGATTTTCGGAAAAAAGGAATTTTATTTCTATTTAAAACGTCGTTTTGTCCAACTCACCCTTTCATTTCATTCTTTGCAGGTACAAGTTGAACAACTGGCGCCAGACGGTCGCTGAGGCAAACACATTCGCTTGCAGGTAGTTTATCAGGAATTTCTAGTTTCACTGAAAAAGTACGATATACTTGCATGTATTATTAACACAGGATTTTGTTCCATTTGTCACAGCAACCGGCTCGAAGTGGGTCCAAAAACTTAA